TCTCTCACCAGCAGGGTACAGGGTTCCTTTTTCCCACATACTTGCCAACACCTGTTGTTGGTGGTGTTTTGATGATAGCTATTCTAACAGGGTTTAGGTGGAATCTTAGTGTGGTTTTGATTTGCATTTCCTTTATGGCCAGAGATTATGAATATTTTTTCATGTGTTTTTGGCCATTTCAATTTCTTCTTTTGAGAAAGATCTATTTATTTCAGTTCCCCATTTCTTTATTGGTTCAATGATTTTGGTAGGGTTTAGGTTTTTGAGCTCCCTGTATATTCTGGTTATCAGTCTTCGTCTAATGCATAGCTGGAAATATTTTCTCCCACTCTGTGGTGGTCTTCTCAATTTAGAGAACATTTTCTTTTGAGGTGCCAAAGTTTTTTAGTTTTATGTAGTTCTATTTTGTCCATCCTTCTCTTAGTTGCTGAGCTACTGGGGTTCTTTTGAGGAAGTTCTTGCCTATACCTATTACTTCCAGAGTATTCTCTGCTCTTTTCTCTACTAACTTCAGAATTTTGTGTCTGATATTAAGGTCCTTGAACCATTTTGAATTAATGCTAGTATAGGGTGATAAATGTGATCTAGTTTCAGAGTTTTTGCAGACTGATAACTATCTTTCCCAGCAACATTGGTTGAAGAGGTTGTATTTACATAATATGTTTTTCCCCCCTTTGTCAAAAATAAGGTGGGCATAGCTGGGTGGATTCATATCCAGTCCTCTAGTCTGTTCCAGTGGTCCTCATGTAAGTTTTTGTGCCAGTACCAAACTGCTTTCTTTGCAGTTTTGCTATTGCTATTGCTTTGTAATATAGTTTGAAGTAGGGTATGGTGATACCTCCAGCATGCTCTTTTTCTGAGTGTTGCCTTGGCTACTCATGGTCTCTTGTGTTTCCAAATAAACTTAGGGTAGCCTTTTCAATGTGTGTGATGAATATCATTTGGATTTTAATGGTAATTGCATTACACATGTAGATTGTTTTTGTAGTGTAGCCATTTTTACCATGTTGATTCTACCAGTCCATGAGCATGGGATATCATTCCACCTTCTATAATCTTCCAAATCTCTTACTTCAGGGGTTTGTAGTTCTCCTTGTAGAAGTCATTCACATCCTTTGTTAAGTTTATTCCTAGGTATTTGATTTTTTTTGAGGCTATTGTGAATGGAATTGTTCTTATAAATTCTCTCCATTTTGTTCATTGCTGATATATAGAAAAGCTAATAATTTTTGTAAGTTGATTTTTATCCTGCCACCTTCCTGTAGCTGTTTATGGTGTCTAGGAGTTTTTGTGTGTTTGAGATTTAGGATCATGTCATCTGCAAGTAGGGATGTTTTGACAGTTTCTTTACCTATCTGTATTCGTTATACTTCTGCTTCTTGCTTAATTGCTCTGGCTAGGAATTCCAGTACTATGTTCAATAGGAGTGGAGATAGTGGGCATCCTTGTCTCATTCCTCATTTTAGGGGAAATGGTTTCAGTTTTCCTCCATTAAGTATGATGTTGTCTATAAGTTTTTTGTATATAGCCTTTATAATGTTGAGGTACTTTTCTTCTATTCCTAGTTTTCTTAGAACTTTAAACATGAAGTGCTTTTTCTGCATCTATTGAGATGATCAAGTGGTGGTTTTTGTCTTTGCTTCTATTAATGTGCTGTATTACATTTATAGATTTGCATATGTTGAACCACCCCTGCATCTCTGGGATGAAGCTGACTTGATTGAGATGAATGATGTTTCTGATATGTTGTTGGATTTGTTTTGCCATTATTTTATTGAGGGATTTTTACATCGATGTTCTTTAATGACTTTGGTCTATAGTTCTCCTTTTTGTGGGGTGTATTCATCTAGTTTTGGGGTGAGTTTAATACTGGCCTCATAAAATGATTTAGGCAGTGTTCTTTCCCTTTCTATTTTGTGGAAAGTTTGAAGGAGAGTTGGTATTAGTTCCTTTTTAAAAGTTTCACAGAATTCAGCAGAGAATCCATCAGGTCCTGGACTTTTCATTTTTGGGAGACTCTTTATTGCTGCTTCAATTTCATTTTGTGTTGTAGATATATTCAGGTGATTGATACCCTCTTGATTCAATTTTGGATTTTCATATGTATCTAGAAATTTCTTCAAATTTTTTAAACTTATTGGAATATAGGTTCTCAAAGTAGTCTCTGATGATTACCTGGGTTGCCATGGTGTTTGTTCTTATCTCCCCTTTTATATTTCTGATTTTATTGATTTTGTTCTTTTCTCTCATTTTAATCAGTTTTGCCAGAGGTCTGTCAATCTTGTTTATTTTTTTCAAAGAACCAACTTTTTTGTTTCCTTGATTCTTTGTATTTTTTTGTTGTTGCTTCTGTTTCATTATTTTCAGCCCTTATTTCTCTCCTTCTGCTTTTTGAGGTTTGCTTGTTCGTCTTTTTCTAAGAGTTTGAGATGTAGCATTTGGTCATTGACTTGAGATCTTTCTGTCCTTTCATTATATGCACTCATGGCTGTAAACTTTCCTTCCACTTAGGACTGACTTTGCTGTGTCTCACAGGTTCTGGTAGGTTGTGTTTTCATTTTCATTAACTTCCAGGAACCTTTTAATTTCCTCTTTTATTTCATAAATGATCCATTGATCATTAGCAATGTGTTGTTCAGCTTCTAATTGTTTGCATGTTTTCTAATTTCTTTTATTGTTGAGTTCTAGTTTTAATGCATTGTGATCAGATAAATGCATGGAATTATTTCTGTTTCTTATATTTGCTGAGGCTTGCTTTGTGCCCTAAGATATGATCAATTTTGGAGAAGTTTTCATGTGTTGCTGAGAAGAATGTATATTGTATAGATGTTGTATGAAATATTCTGTAGACATCAGCTACATCCATTTGATCAATGGTATGATTTAGTTCTAGAATTCCTTTATTGTTTTTTTGTTTGGATGGCTTATGTATTGGTAATGGGGGGTATTAAGGTCTTCCACTACCACTGTGTTAGAATTTATATATGTTTCTAGGTCCTTCAGAATATGTTTTATGAAATTGGGTGCATTGACTTTGGCTGCATATTGGTCAATAATTGTTATTTCTTTTCAGTGTATTTCCCTTTTTATTGGTATGGCGTGTCCTTTATCTCACTTGATCAAGTAATTTTGAAGTCTACTTTTTCCAAGACAAGTGTTGCTACTCCTGCCTTTTTTCAGAGGCCATTGTTTGGTGAAATCTCTTTTCAGCTTTTCACCCTAGGGCAGTACTTTTTATGTCAATGAGATGGGTCTCCTGCAAGCAATAGATTGTTGGATCTGCCTTTTTAATCCAGTTTGCCAAAAGCTGTCTTTTGATAGAGGAGTTAATCCGTTAGCATTCAGTGTTAATATTGATAGATATGTGGTGATTCCTGTCATTTAGTTGTTTTTGTTGTTTAAGGGTTTGATTGTGTGTAGCTGAATCAATGTTACTCTATGATTCCTTGTCTTTTCTTCTCCTGTGGTTTGGTAATGCCTGTTATTTCATGGTTTTGTTTTCTTTCATTATCTGTGTGCAGAATTCCTTGAAGAATCTTTTGTAGTGGTGGCTTTTTGGTCATATATTGTTTTAGTTTCTGCTTATCATAGAAGTCTTTTATTGTTCCATCTATTTTAAATTATAGTTTTGCTGGGTAGAATGTCCTAGGTTTGAAATTACTTTCATTCAGTGCCCAGAATACCTCACTCCATGCCCTTACTGCTTTTAAGTTTTCTGGGGCTGGATGTTCAGCTTGTCATTTTGAATCTTCTTAGTGCTTTTTTTCTGCCAAGTGTGACTCCAGTGTCTCATCTAGATTTTTGATTTATGGAGCTCATTCTGTCTCCTTCTGCACTCTAGTAGCCATCTAGGATCCTTGAAAAGGAAATTTTTGTTAGTTTCTTTTGCCTTGTTTTCTTGCAGTTCTTTGAATGGAGCCCATACTATTAAAATGATCTATCACAGAGCTACAATCTCAACCCCATGAATTTGTTTTACCACTCAACACACAAACTTTAAAAAAAAATGCAAGAAATAAAATTCAGTGTCTTAAAAGTGAGTTGGTTACAAAGACAAAGAAAGTTGGTTGCTAAGAGATAAGGTATCACCTTTAAAGGGTTACGGCAAAGATGCTTGGAATCTCTCTGTATAGCTATCTCTATCTGCAATTAGCAAAAATTCTATGCCTTTTTTATTTAAAGAAAAAAAAAGGTGATTCTTTTTTTCCTTGCCACTTGTACAAAAAGTAATAACTCTTTCTGGCCCATGGCTGTCAAGCTTATTTTACATCCAGAGCAACACACAGTTTGTTGTGTGGCATTTTATCCTATGTATTTTAATATTCCACACCAACAGTACCATCTCACCAAACTTCTTCCAACAAATTTCTGTTGTTTGGTCTTATTTACAAAATGGGTCCCTTTCAAACAGAGAGCAAACAACTAGTACATGTCTATTTATCAACAGTTTGTAATTACAAAGCTTATTTTAGTTTGATTTTTAAATACACTTTTTAATGTTGAACCTGTGAAATCTAATTATTTCCTCCAAAAGCAGTTATTGAACAAGAATATCTACTTCATGAACAATCATCTTTTTATCAGGATTCTTTAAGGGCAAATATATTAACAATGTGGGTAGATAACTTTTTGAGATGGGGATTCTTTCCTGAGTCCTATACATCCTTTTATGATGGCCAAAATTTCTTCCACACCTTGTCAAATGTGTAATTTGGACAAAAGTAATGAAAATTTTCTTACAGACATGTGGTTTTTACATTCGATTATTGAAGATATTTGATGCATGTGAAAATGTTATGAAAATGCAATAGTAATATCATTAGGATTTATTTTAATTCAAATGTAACAGGGATTTTTATGGAAAAGACAAAATGGTAGACATGTCTTTGATTAAGACATAATGTTTTTGTTACTGCTGGATATGTTGTGCTTGCTGGTAAATATTTGCAATGAACCAGTTTTAACTTCCTGTTTATTGGATTCAATGTTTCATTGTGAAAATGCAGAAGAGTTTAATATTTCTCTTTTTTCTTCCTTCTATCTCCAGTGATCCTAATCAACCAGTTCCACAAGATACCAAGTTCATTCACACAAAATCCAACCGCTTTGAGGAAGTGGCCTGGTCCAAGTACAATCCCAAAGACCAATTGTATCTGCATATTGGGCTGAAACCCAGAGTGAGGGATCATTACCGAGCAACAAAAGTGGCTTTCTGGTTGGAACTTGTTCCTCATTTGCACAATTTGAATGAGATATTTCAGTATGTTTCAACAACTACAAAAGTTCCTGTACCAGATATGACTTCATTTCCCTATGGTACCCAGAGATCACCTGCCAAGACATGGCCAAGAACTAAACACCCAGCTATTACTCCTGCTAGGAATCCCAAACACTCTAAGAACCCTCAAAACACAGGGCCTGAGGACACCACTATACTCATTGAAACAAAACGGAATTATTCCACTGAATTAAGTGTTACCATTGCTGTGGGGGCATCCCTCCTCTTCCTCAATATTTTAGCTTTTGCAGCCCTGTACTACAAAAAGGACAAGAGACACCATGAAACCCATAGGCACCACAGTCCCCAAAGAAATACCACAAATGATGTTGCTCACATCCAGAATGAAGAGATCATGTCTCTGCAGATGAAGCAGCTCAAACACGATCATGAGTGTGAGTCTCTACAGGCTCATGACACACTGAGGCTCACCTGCCCACCAGACTACACGCTCACTCTGCGTAGGTCCCCAGATGACATCCCACTCATGACACCAAATACCATCACCATGATTCCAAATACACTGACAGAGATGCAGACATTGCACACATTCAACATTTTCAGAGGAGGACAAAACAGTACAAATCTACCCCATGGACATTCAACCACTAGAGTATAAATTTGCTATTCCTTTCCTCTCTCTCCCTGCATCCCACCCTCCTTTTCATTAGCATAGATTAAGAAAGACAAAGGAAATATTTTCCAAAAGGGTGAAGTTGCAAAACAAGACAATCACTAGTTGTGACTCTGCAAATTCTTAGCATTTCCCTGTATTACAGGATCATTTTCTGATCATATGAAATGTGAAAAGTCTACATTTCTGAAACAATACTGCTTTAATATTTTCAACACTTCAACTGGACATTTCATGTGAATAGAGTGTCACCATTTCAAGGACCTGTATGTTTTCAATGTAAGAATAGCAATTGATTTCTGAAAGTCAGCCAAGGACATCTATTTTTTTAATTACAATTTAAAAAGTACTTTGTGTGCCCTATGATGGATGACTCTACTTAAGTAAAGAAAGTGTCTATGGATTCTGAACATGGGTCTCTAAACCAGAGAAAAAGAAAAGTAAAATTTTATTATTCAAATAAAAGAATTGACTATGCAGAAAAACCCATACAGTTCTGTGCAAAGAGATGTTTTGCCAGTCTGACCTATACTTAAAGAAATTTTGTAAGAATACTTTAAAAGGAATATAGATGAGAGTTTAAACAAAAAACACAGAGGCAAAAAAAAATTGCTATTTTCAGTTTGAAAGAGCTTTTAGCAAGACTGTAGTTTACATTGGCTCTGAATGTATATAAGCACATACACGTTACTCATTTCACATATATGACTCACTTCATCTTTGGCAAAAAATAAGTCTTTTGTTCTTAATTACCTGTGGTAAACAAAGATAAGAGATTTTTAAAAAATTCATTTCCCTTGGAGGGATATGTGCCATCACACAGAGGACCCTGTACCATCATATGTGGCCTATGTTCCTTTTTGGGTTGCCCAAGTGCATGCAATGTATTCTTAGGAGACTACATTTGAGAAAACTCTGTGTGTGTGTGTGTGTGTGTGTGTGATTTCATGAAGGTGCAATGCAAAAATGGGTGTGTCTTTTTACTTAAAATCCATAAATTAGAGACAGGCACTTACAGAGCAACAGCAGGGAATAACAAAAAAAAAGTCTCATTCTATAATTCTGGACCTTAAAATGTCTTTAAGAAGAGTTGGTTCCCACCCTATGGTTCTGCCAAAGGAAGAAGAAAGCTTGCCTTTGCTGGGACTATGATCCACCAACTCAATATGGTTATGTTCCTCAGCAGCTGCAAGTTTTAGCTAATGAAGTATCTGTTCAGCTTTGCTAATTAGATTGAAAGATTACATGTGTCTTTCCTTTTTTAAAGCAGTTGCTCTTATTTATTAGTAAATTGTGTTTTTTTTAACTGTTGATATCATTTATGGGATAAAATGTATGCTTGTCTAAAAATGTCACTTTTGTGGATTTATGTAGCAGTCACCAATCAGTGAATACTGCATAAGAATTAGGGAAAAAGTAAAAAAAAAAAAAAAGAGTGTTCATGGGTTTTCTTGAAAATTTAAATTGTTTCCTTGCCAAAATAATAAACAGAACATACTCACCCATGTTAAATTGGCAACCTGGGGTTCAGAGGTTTATGCCTATCATCATTTTAGGAAATTTTTTAAACTTCCCTTTAAGGTATGATTTAGTCTTAAAAGGTGGAAGAAAATATAAAAGTAACAAAAAATTTAACCTATAGAAAAACAGAGTTTTTAGAAATACTTACAAAAGTCACAAAATCAATCTTGTTACTTATGTTAGTTTAAATTTGAGAATTGCTCTCTGTATATAAACATGTGAAATAATATAATCCCAAAGGAATGTGAAGTAACATTCCTTTCCTTTACAGCAATGGGTCATGGGGAAGATTTCCCTGATTGATTCTTTTCTGAAGCTATTATCAGGCCATTCTGCAATGATGGATCATCCCAGCTGAGCTATAACAAATAGATTAAACTTAAAAGTACATGATGCTAAACATTGGTATTGGTTTAGTATGTTTGTAATGTAAATTCCACTATTCATTCAGTATTTCCAATCATCTACTAGTAATTAGTTAGGACAAAGAATTTCCTGTAAAGTGAATAATTTTAATTTTTACAGAGGTTATGGTACAGCAATTTAATACATCTTAAAGGATATCATATAAGATATACATGTATATCTATAAGAGATTATCCAGACTTTAGAGAGTTCTATGAGAAAAATATACTTCTATCTAGACAAAAGTAAAAAGTGAGAAAAATAAGTAAAATTACTTACCTAGGTTTTATTCTTGATCTTCAAACATGTGCAGGGTTTAAGTTTCCTTGGATTATTATTTGCAATATTGTTTTTTATTTTTCCTTAAATGCTGATAAAATATATATGTGGCTGGACACATATAAATAAACTTTTCAGCAGCATTTTAAAAAATAAAATGTTGAGTATTTTCTAATGTTTCATGCAAATAATTGTGTCCTTTCTTGGTAGGTGACTTCTCTTCTTTTTTTCTTATATGCTTTTTATTTTATTTTTATTTTTAGTATTTCCATTTTATACATGAGAAAACTCATTCTTTTTAAAAAATTTTTTTTATATTCATATGTGCATACAATTCTTGGGTTATTTCTCCCCCCCTGAACCCACCTGCTCCTTTACCACCCACACTGCCCCCTCCCTCTCCCCCCACCCCCTTGATACCTGGCAGAAACTATTTTGCCCTTATTTCTAATTTTGTTGTAGAGAGAGTATAAGCAATAATAGGAAGGAACAAGCATTTTTGCTGGTTGAGATAAAGATAGCTATACAGGGAGTTGACACACATTAATTTCCTGTGCATGTGTGTTACCTTCTAGGTTAATTCTTTTTGATCTAACCTTTTCTATAGTTCCTGGTCCCCTTTTCCTATTGGCCTCATTTGCTTTTAAGATATCTGCTTTAATTTCTCTGTGTTGAGGGCAACAAATGCTAGCTAATTTTTTAGGTGTCATACCTGTCCTTATACCTCCCTTGTGTGATCTCACTTTTATCATGTGCTCAAAGTCCAATCCCCTTGGTTTTTTTTTTTTCATTTTTATTTTATTATTCATATGTGCATACAAGGCTTGGTTCATTTCTCCCCCCTGCCCCCACCCCCTCCCTTACCACCCACTCCACCCTCTCCCGCTCCCCCCCTCAATACCCAGCAGAAACTATTTTGCCCTTATCTTTAATTTTGTTGTAGAGAGAGTATAAGCAATAATAGGAAGGAACAAGGGGTTTTGCTGGTTGAGATAAGGATAGCTATACAGGGCATTGACTCACATTGATTTCCTGTGCATGTGTGTTACCTTCTAGGTTAATTCTTTTTGATCTAACCTTTTCTCTAGTTCCTGGTCCCCTTTTCTTATTGGCCTCAGTTGCTTTAAGGTATCTGCTTTAGTTTCTCTGCATTAAGGGCAACAAATGCTAGTTTTTTAGGTGTCTTACCTATCCTCACCCCTCCCTTGTGTGCTCTCGCTTTTATCATGTGCTCATAGTCCAATCCCCTTGTTGTGTTTGCCCTTGATCTAATGACCACATATGAGGGAGAACATATGATTTTTGGTCTTTTGGGGCAGGCTAACCTCACTTAGAATGATGTTCTCCAATTCCATCCATTTACCAGCAAATGATAACATTTCATTCTTCTTCATGGCTGTATAAAATTCCACTGTGTATAGATACCACATTTTCTTAATCCATTTGTCAGTAGTGGGGCATCTTGGCTGTTTCCATAATTTGGATATTGTGAATAGTGCTGCCTCTGGAGTAACCTGTGTCACAGTCTTTTGGGTATATCCCCAATAGTGGTATTGCTGGACCAAATGGTAGATCAATGTTTACCTTTTTAAGTAGCCTCCAAATTTTTTCCAGAGTGGTTGTACTAGTTTACATTCCCACTAACAGTGTAAGAGGGTTCCTTTTTCCCCACATCCTCACCAACATCTGTTGTTGGCAGTGTTGCTAATGATGGCTATTCTAACAGGGGTGAGGTGGAATCTTAGTGTGGTTTTAATTTGCATTCCTTTATTGCTAGAGATGGTGAGCATTTTTTTCATGTGTTTTTGGGCCATTTGAATTTCTTCCTTTGAGAAAGTTCTGTTTAGTTCACTTGCCCATTTCATTATTAGTTCATTAGTTTGGGGAGAATTTAGTTTTTTAAGTTCCCTATATTTTCTGGTTATCAGTCCTTTGTCTGAAGTGTAGCTGGCAAATATGTTCTCCCACTCTGTGGGTGTTCTCTTCAGTTTAGAGACCTATACAAGGAAAACTATAAACTTCTGAAGAAAGAGATTGAGGAATACTATAAAAAATGGACAGATATCCTTTCTCATGGATTGGTAGAATCAACATAGTAAAAATGTCTATATTCCCTAAAGGAATCTACATGTTCAATGCAATTCCCATAAAAATTCCAGTGACATTCATTAAAGAGATTGAAAAAAATCTACCATTAAATTTATATGGAAACACAAGAGGCCACAAATAGCCAAGGCAATACTCAGTCAAAAAACAATGCTGGAGGTATCACAGTACCTGACTTCAAACTATATTACAAAGCAATAACAATAAAAACAGCATGGTACTGGCAGAAAAACAGACATGAAGACCAGTGGAACAGATTAGAGTATCCAGATATGAAGCCACACAACTATAACCAACTCGTCTTTGACAAAGGTGCTAAAAATATACAATGAAGAAAAAGCAGTCTCTTCAACAAAAACTGTTGGGAAAACTAGTTAGCAGTCTGTAAAAAACTGAAACTAGATCCATGTATATCACCCTATACCAATATTAACTTAAAATGGATCAAGGATCTTAATATCAGACCACAAATTCTAAAGTTGATACAGGAAAGAGTAGGAAATATTCTGGAGATTTTAGGTATAGGTAAGAACTTTCTCAATGAAACCCCAGCAGCACAGCAACTCAGAGATAGCATAGATAAATGGGACTTCATTAAACTAAAAAGCTTCTGCTCTTACATGCTTTTTAAACTGTGAAAGCTGCATGATACAACTGACAAAGCTGTAAATGGC